GGTGGCCCTGTCTCAGCTGTTCTTTCTGCTCACTTCCTTTCTCTCGGCCGCAGAGCGTGGCAATGTTGTTGGGAGGGTTGGTACCTTCAAGCAGACAAGAACCTGAACAGGAATTGGCTTTGTCCCCCTTTTCTGTGACTGCAGCTGCAGGTCGTCGGGACCCTGAGGACGTGCCTGGCTGGGAAGACCAAGGAGGGCCCGGACTGACCCAAGGAAATTTGGTTATGTGCTGTTTTCGTCTAATACAAACTCTTATTCTTTTCATTTTTTCCACGTCCTTTCTAGCCAAAACAGAGAAGCGTTTCCATGCCCATGTCAAGCCAAGAGATGACAGCACTGGGCAAGTCTGCCTCTGAACCATGAGCTGATGCTCTGAACCCTGAGCCTAGTGGGGAGGCAGCCTCCAGCCTGCACTTGTCAGGGCCTGGTTGTGTTCTGGGCACCAGAGGCCAGCTTGTTTTGGAGCTGAGAGACTCAGAACTGGAAGGCAGTGCCAAGCCCATCTGTGCCTAGGAGTAGTCTGAAGACATACAGAGAAAGCTTTGTGCTTAAGCCCTGTAGCCAGACAGCCTCAATTCCAGGCCCAGCCCAGCCACTCAGCAGCTCTGTGACCTTGGCATGTTATTTTATCTCCCTGGGTCTCAGTTTCCACCTCTGTAAAAGCAGGCTCAGAGGAGCACCCATTTGGCAGGACTACTTGAAGCTGGAAATAAGCACCTTGCATAGCACCCAGCTCATAGCAGGCCCTCAGGGAGCAGTCAGCATCCGCTCATTACTGCAAGAGAGGCCTCCTTGTTCCTTACACTCTGCAGCAGCTATGACGGGGGCGGGGGGTACGGCAGGGTTTGGTACTCTTCGCAAACCCAGGAATGCTCTACTCAAGCTGATACGCAAGTGGAAACTGAGCTATCCCACCGCACGTCCCTAGCTTTGCCCACCTTCAGAATCCCTCCGCCCCTGGATGACCTCTGGGCCAAGCAGAGTGTGGAAAATGGGACCTGGGGAGCTTGATTGGACCTGAAATCTCCCTGAACCTGAACAGAGACCATCTGGGGAACGCACTCCCCCTCTTTCTTGATGAGACCACTGGTGTCATAAAGCTGTGTGGTCATCAGCACCCCTGGAGAAACCAGGTTGTGGTGGCAAATCTAACCAGAAGCCCAAGGTGGGCTTTCCCAGGTGGCCCTTACCCTGTGCTCCTTGGTATGTAATTGAACTAGAGCACCCAGGGCATGTGGGCATGTGTTGCAAGGTGGTGATTTCTATAGTAACAACGAAGGCTCCAGCTGAGTTCCAGTTGGCTCTGCTGATGGTGAAGCCGTACAGAGGCCAAAACCCAGACTCACCCTGAGGCTCCTTGGGAAGGGGGTCAGGGGAGATGGCCTCCAAGGTCCCTTCTAGTCCTTGGTCCTGTGATTTCCCCAGCTCACTGTCCTGCATCTATATAAAGCGGCAGCTCAGCCTTGCTAGCGCACTGGAACACCTGGAGAGCTTTAAGAACTCCTGATACTAGTCTCCCACCTCCAGAGATTCTGATTGAATCGGTCTTGGGTAGGGCCTGGACATCAGGATTTTTAAAATATTCCAATTCTTCGGATTCTAATGTGCAGCCAAGGTGGAGAACGACTGGTAAAAAGGCAGGCGAGCTAATAATAATTAATAATTAATAATTTATGTGCCAGATAGTGTGCTAAGCATGTTATTTACATCGTGTCCTTTAATCCTCACAACAATCCCCATTTTCTAGCTGAAGAAGCATGCTCAGAAAGGGTAAGTGACTTCCCAAGGCCAGAGAGCAGTAAACACCTGCATTCTATCCCCCCAGATTTCAAAGGCCTGGCTGGTAACCCTTACATAACTGTTTTGGAGGCCATGTGAAAGGGGAACTGGGGACATGTCTGGGGCAGGCCCCTGAGGGACCCTTGATACCCTAGGCGAGGTTTCCTGTACCCAAGCTGAGGTCCCCAGCCCTGTGCCACCCCCAGCGTCTCGTCTGGTTGGATAGGAGCGCGGGTAGGCCAGGCGTGGTTGGCTCCTTCCCCAGAACCCAGTGGCTTGCGGGGAGGCCCAGTGGGACCCGCCTTTTCATTCGGGAGAGGTGGAACCTGACACCTTGCACTCAGAGCTGGTTAATCATGTGCTCCGTTTCCCAGCCTTCCTGAAGAATGGCAGTCTTTCAACTTTGGATGCCGCCTAAGATGAGACTTTGTTCCCAGGGGAGTGGGGAGTGGTTGGGAAGCACATTTTGTTCACCAGGTGGTTGGGGTTTAGAGCAGACTCAGAAAAAAGTCAGGAGCCATCCATAAAATAGGACCAGGGCCTTTTTATTTGCAGTCTCATTGAACTTGAGTGAAAGGCCAGCGCAGCAGGTACCTGTTTTACTGGCAGTAAAAGGAAATTAGGCAGCAGTTATTTAAAAGGAGTTTGAGTTGTTTAAATCTACAATTTAGAGGTGCATGTATGTTTTAAAAGAAAGTTTACAGGGCTTGGGGATTTGGGTTGAACTGTTTTTGATAAAAAATGATGTGGAAAATATTTTCCTTTCTTATTTCAAACCTTCCCCTTTGCTGTTTGCTTCCTAAATTTAGCAGTCAAGGAGAAGTAAGCAAATCTAGCTGGGAAAAAAAAAAAAATTGAAGCCAGGCAGGCAAGATTCAAAGTTTAACTGAAGTGATGGACTGAAAATACAACTCTCTAAGATGAGAAATAATTCTTCCCGTTTTATAGAGCAGAGTCATTATTTCAGTTTAAACAATTTCAGATGTGATTGACCTTGTTGGATGTGGAAGTGCTGGAATGGGCATTTCCCCAAAGGACAGACCGGGGAGGAGACCATCCTCTAACCACCTAACCCTCAGCCAAGAGCTTTTGGAGGAGGCTGGAGGGCTGTGGGAGGCCCAGCAGGCTGTCACTCACCATCTCCCAGCCCTCCTTCCTTGTCAGGGCAACTCAAGGGACTCTTATGTTGTGGTCCAGATGGACCCCTGCCCCGATCCCCAAGCCTGACCACAGCCCTGCTTGCTGGGAAGGCAGAGAATGCCCTACCTGACTGTAGGCTCAAGTCACTGGGCCAGATGCCAGGGACCAGCCTGGTCCACTGCCACCAAACTCTGTCATTTCCATTCATGGCTCGTTTTTTGGTGTTTGTTTTTGATTTTGTTTCTTACTTTTTTAAAAAGATTTTTATTTATTTATTTGAGAGAGAGCGCGTGCACTTGAGCGAGAGAGCACAAGCAGGGGGAGCAGCAGAGGCAGAGGGAGAAGCAGACTCCGCGGAGCAGGGAGCCCAACGCGGGGCTCAACCCTAGGACCCTGGGATCATGACCTGAGCCGAAGGCAGATTCTTAACCGACTGAGCCACCCAGGCACATCTCTTTCTTACTTTTGGAGAATGGTTTTCTATTCACTGGAATGACTGAAGGACTGACATCTCTGAATTTTGGGTTATTAGAGAGGATAGTCAACTCAAACTAGTTTAAGCAAAAAAAAAAAAAAGAGGACAGATAGGTAGTAGATAAGACAGGTAGGTAGGTAGGAAGGTAGATAGGCAGATAGATAGATACAAAAAAAACCCAAGATGAATTGGGATCAGATATGACTAGCTCCAGGGATCCCCAAATAATATCACTATAGCTCTTTCTTTCTGTCTCTTGGCTCTGATTGTTTCTTCTTCATTCTCCAGACAAAATTTCTCCATGTAATAGGCAAGAGGACTTGCCTCCCAGGTTTATGGGACATGACAAAAAGAGCTCATCTTATAGAAAGTTCTCAGAGTGGATTCTGATTGGCCCAGATTGAGTCGATTGCTTCACCAATCTCTATGATAGATCAGCCTAGCCTGGGCCTTGTGCCCACCCCTGTGGGGGTGATCAAGGCGTTGATGGGACAGGAGGACAGTGTTTAACAGTCCTGCCAAGAGATATGAGTGGGAAGGAAATCCCCAAGGTAAGCAGAAACTACCCTGCCACCAACTTGGTCCACCTCAGTTCCAAGTAATGTGTTAGCCAAGTACGCATATGTGGGAGGGGAGATGAGTGGGGTCATGACAGCTCATCACTCGCATATTCATTAGCCGTTGATTTTGAATCCTACCAACAGGCACTGTTCCGGGTTTTGGGATCCAGCATTAAACAAAACAGACCATCCCTTCCCTAGTGACTCTTATATTCTTGTGGGGAGAAGCAGTCAGAAAGATAAAATAACTAAGCAAAATACACATAGAAAGAACATCAGATGACACTTCCATCAGCTAGAAGGAAATTTAGAACAAGGCAGGAGGATAGGGAATGAGGGGCTGGGGTCATAGGGTTATAGGTGTGGGGGGTGGGTGCGGTTAGGGAAGGCTCACAGAAGTGAGGTTTGAGCAGAGCCTTGCAGAGGGGTGAGGGAGGGAGCCATGCAGACATCTGGAAGAGCCTTCCAGGAAGGAGAAGGAACAGAGGGGTTGAGGGGAAGGGTGCTGGCAGGCTCAAGGAACACTAGGAGGCTAGTGTGGCCAGAACAGAGCCAGGGAGGGGGCAACAGCAGAACCCGAGCCCATGAGGTAACTGGGCCCCCACCCATAGAGTGTCCTGGGCCACTGTGAGCTCTGTCAGGAGAGCAAAAGCCACAGAAGGTCATGTGATATGTCAGAGCATTCCCTTTTGTTAGCTGTGGTTTTCTCCCCTGTTGATTATAGGTAAGTTGAGAGCAGGGACATTATTTAGGTATTCATTCATTCGTTCATTCACTCGTTCATTCCTTTATTCAGCAGACATCCACTCAGTACCTACTACGTGCTGGGTGCTGGGAGCCTGAAGGTGGGGATCTCACCATCTAGTGGAAAAGAAAGAGAAGTAAAGCACAGACGTCGGTGCCATGTGATCTGTGAATTCCACAAGCAGCTCCAAGTGCCCTCATCCCCTCCAGAAAGGGCAGCAGTACGAGTCCCATATAGTGGCTCCAACTGGCTCCAAGCCCAGGATCTCAGATCTCCCAGGCTGATCCAGATATAGCTCCTCATGGTCCTACAGCCTCGAGCCAAAGGATGCATTTACCCCTCGCCAGTGTGCTTAGTAAGCGGTGTGGGTGGGGAAACAGGGCAGAAGGGGAAGAGCATTCACTGGTCCCCAGTCTGTGGCGCATGCACCCTGTCTGGACTCCTGTTCCAGCTAGGCTTGGGGTGGGATGGGCTTCCACGGCCAGTTCTCCAGCTACCCATGATCTGAGGTTGAGGGTGAGGGTTTCTTCGTGAACTTCCGTGGCCAGGTCTGGCATAGGATGGGGGAGCCGCGAGGGGTGATCTAGGTTCCTAGATTTCTCTTCTGGGGTCCATACTGCTTTTGCTTATTTCCATCTTCCCAGCCTCTTGCACAGTGCCTGCACGTACGAGACTTGCAGGAAATATTTGTTGATTTAGCACTAGTGGTGAGCCCGTAGGACACCGCTGTGGATGTGCAGGGCCGTGGTCTTGGTCAGGCTGAGGAGCATCGGGGAAGACATCACAGATGACCCCTGCATGTGTTATTGGGAGGACCAGGAGGTCAGCACTGCCCACCTCTGCAACCAGCCATGCAGGAGAAGCATGTGGTGGTCTTCAGGGACAAATTCGTTTTGAGGTGTTGAGTTAGCGGTACCGATGGGCCATTCGAAGGCCTGAAAGTCTCAAGATCAAAGAACAGGGCCAAAGGGAAAGGAGGGGTCGAGAGCTGTGAGGAAATATGAGCTGCAGTGCAGGCATATGAACTAGTGAGATACCAGGTAGAAGATGTCTGGGTCGGGACGGGGTGAGGCCAGGGAGGCGCTGGGCAGAGAGGAAGTTAAAGCCCTACAGAGATCACATCCTACCCTTCCTTAGTGTCCCCTCCACTTGGCTGACTTGGGACCAACTGATGTTTCGGCTCCAGGCCCCAGATATGCTGGGTCAACATGGAAGCAGGGCTAAGACCCCAGGGAGGGAACAGGGACTGGGACTCCACAGCACCCTTCTTCACGAGGTGGCTCACAAGTGAAGGGTCTAGCCTTGGAGGACAGCTAGAGCACCCTCGGAGGCTATGGTCTGCGGGAGGGAGCAGCAGACGCTTCTGAACAGCATCTTTGAGGATGTCTAGCTCATCCTAGTGAGCTTCGCTAGTGAACGGAACTTCTCTAGTGAACCTTGGCCTGAGCCCTTGGTCTTCCAAAACATTCTCTAGAGCCCTGAGGAAGCTTTGCCTGAGGCGCAGGAAGCCTGCAGGCTGGAGATGGGGGAAGAGTCTCCTGAGCATTCCTTCCCTCTGGCACTAGGGAGTGCTCTGTGGAGCTCTGCGGAATGACTGGGTGGCTGGATGAAAGAGTGAGTGAACTCAAGCATTCTTGAACAACTGAATGAATGATCAGATAGGCCTTGGAACTTGGCAGAGGGGTGTCCCAGTGCCTGGTAGATGCACTGCTCTCAATCCATGTTTCTTGGGTGATGGGTGAGTGTGGGATGAGGACTCAGAGGTTTCCTGAGCCCACAGAGTGGCCAGAAGCCCTAAATAAATAAACACGGTTATTTCCCACAGTTGACTTGCAGGATAATTAAGTGGCATACTCTCCCTTTGGGAGCTTCTGCAGTTTTTCTTTTCTTTTATCTCAGATATCAATAGAAGCTGCTTCCCATTTCTCTGACCTGGGCTGGGAGGAATTGGGGGGGAAGAGTTAGCGCCCGTCCTTCTCCCAGGTGGGAAGGACACAGAGAACTTCTCCTGCTCACTCTCCAAGATGGACGGCTTGGGTCCTTCTAGCAATCCAGGGTTCAGGTCAAAACAGCCTTCCTCTCCCTCTCCCTCTCTCCTTCCTTCCCTCCTTCTGTCTTTCCTGAAATGTATTTCCAGCCCATGGGGGCTCTGCCACATCTGTCCAGCCCTTGTCATGGCACCAACCCCGAATATCAATCACAGTGTGGCCGCCGCAGCCGTGACCACCATCCTGAGCACCTGTGTGTAGCTGGGCCCGGTGGACACGAGGAGACCTCCTTCACCAGCTCTGACCTCGGGGAGCTCAGGGGCTGGCTCCTAGGACAGGATGCACCCGGAGGCTGGAACCCGACAGAGTGGCATCCCTGAAGGAGATACTCACCCCCTGGAGCCTTCCACATTCCTGCTGGCGAGGTCCGGGGCTAGGCTTTCATGGAGGCCCTGGGCCACTGTGGATGTCCCCCAGCATCACCCAACACCTTGGTCTCCTCTCCCCCACGTCCAGCTACCTTCCAGGGACCATCCCTCTGGGGCTAGCCTTTGATGGAGTCCTCGTGCAGAGTTCTGTGTCTGGATAATCCTCGCCCACCTTCCCGCTGCCTCTGGCGGCCCACAGCTCCAGCCCAGGCTGCTGGGCAGGTGGGAGGGCTGCAGTCAGGATGCGCTCACCGTTGATGATATTTCAAGGCACTCTGGGGGAATATCCAGCCAGCAGTTTGGTTCAAATAATGAGATGTCAGGATCCATCTATCTCTCCATTCATCTCAGATGTGTCCTTCCCCAGGGTCTTTCATGGGGGGACTTTGGGACTACAGAGTGGGGTGTGGCTAAGAGGAGAGAGGCTGGGCCATGGCCTGTGTGATCCATCACTCCTCCGGGGAGCCAGGAGCTCTGACGTGGGGTTATTTCAGCAGCAAGTGCCAGTCCCTGAGAAGATGCACCATTGTCTGCATTTGGGTGTTCTGGCAGCTCTGGCACGAGCCTGAAGGGCCTACTTGTCCTCACAGGTAGTTCTCTGGACAGCAGCTCGTCCAAGCCCCGGGTGTTTTACTGCATGCCTAGTCCAGGGTCAGGCCCAAGTTTATCCCTAGGACACTGTAGCTTGCTTGGCGACCTCCAGCTTGGCTGGTGGTCCCCTCAGGACACCTCATCTCGGGGGTCACCTTCTCCAAATCCAGCAAAGAGCACTGGGCAAGAGAATGACTTTCCGGGTCAGAACAACCAGTTTGAATCCAGAAACTGTGACTCATTAGCTCTGACCTTGGGCTTTAAAAAAAAAAAAAAGCCTTCATTTTTTAAGAGCAGTTTGGGTACTGTTTTTTTAACTTCTTGAGCCTCGGTTTCCTTATCCGTACAAGGGGGGGAAGTACCGATCTCCTGCTCACAGAGTTGGGATGAAGTACGGACGAGGTAAGGCAGCTGGCTCCTGCCGGCGGGATCAGGGCTCACCCCACAGTGGCGGCTTTATCCTCCCGCCTGCGACCCCTCTGATGCTGACCTTTGGCTCAGGTGACAGGAACACCCTCCAGAGGCTTCGATGAGAAGGCGTACCTGGCAGCCAAGCAGCTGAAGGCCGGAGAGGACCCTTACAGGCAGCATGCCTTCAACCAGCTGGAGAGTGACAAGCTGAGCCCAGACCGAGCCATCCGGGACACACGCCATTACAGGTACAGCATCCATGGGGCCGTGGAGGGCAGGGCCGGCCCCCGCCAGCAGTCCCCGGGACTGAAGGAATGAGAAGGGTCGCCTCAGACTCCATCTGGTTGTTGAGAGCCTCACACCCTCACCCTCAGTTGTTCTCTTGCCTCCTCTGTTTCATTGACCTCCGGAGGGCCTGAGACGGCCAAGGAGACTCAGCGGGCGCCGGGGAGGCCCCTCAGCACCTCAGTCTGGAGTCCCAGTGAGAGGGGGCTGCCAGGGGACCACAGGGAGGCCGGAGGGGGTGGGCGAGCCTGCTGATGGTGGCTAAGGTGAAGAGGGGCCACCAACCCGGCCCGCACTGTGCAAGGGATTCTCGTCTTCCTGCCCCGCTGCCCCCGCTTCCTCAGCAGTTCCCAGAAATGCTCCCCAGCCTTGCTCTTGGCTCTCCCAGTGGGGTAGGTGGGAGAGGCCCCAGAGCAGGACCAAGGACACCTTCCATGATGATCCCCACTCCGACTGCACTCGGTATAAGTGACCGACCTTGGGCAAGCCATCAATGCCCCCTCCTTGGTTCAGGCTCTTGATGTGTCCTGTCTGGATTATAGTTGCCACCTCCAGTCCCCCCTTCCTGCCCTCACCTATGGGAATAGTCTGAGGTCCTTACCCTGAAGTGCAAGCCACCCCTCCTGGCCCTGAACCAATGTTCCTTTTTGCCTAGCACTTAATGCTCCCGCAGTCCTATGCCCTTCTGTCCCCCCGCCCTTGTCTATGCACATACTGTTTCCCTCGCCTGAACCCCACCCCCCACCCGTACCTTCACAATTCCCCTCAGTGTCCTCTCCTCCGGGGAAGGTTCCTTGCCAACCCAGGCTGGTCTGGGGACTTCGTCTGTGCTCCGTGCTGACAGGGCAGGAGGGGCTCTTGGAGCAGACTCACCCATGTGCCTGCGTTTCTGAGGGACCCACATGGGCTGTGTTGGTCCAGCTGTGTTCCTAGCACCAGGCTGGTCCTGGTCTAAGGGTAGGTGGGGATGATGCAGGTCAAGATTGCTTTTCCTTCTGAAGCAGCTACTCCACAGCACAAAAGGTATGTGCGAGATAAGGGTGCAGAAAGGGACATGCTTCTAGCACTTTCCATGTCACTCATGGAGGTGAGCCTGAAATCCGGTGGGCTTGGCCGCCTGTCAAGAGGAGATGGACATGGAGTCGGGGGAGCCCCAGACTGTCCTCACTGTCTTGGAACCCCAGCATTGCCAGTACGACGATAATCCTGCTACTCGGAAAAGCCTCCCCACAGGTCCACTGGCCAGCTCAGATCTCACAAGTTCTTTCTCAGTCAATGCTGGTGCAGAGTCCACCTGCACTGTGGGGCCTACAAGGCTATGTCCACACAACTCTGTTTGGAGACCTTTCCTGGCAACCCCGGCTACGGCCAACCTTGACCCCAAGGCGTAGAGGTCCTATGGATCCAAATCTCTGAACTGATCCAGGGTTAGCCTGGATCACCTCTGCCCTCACTCCCACTAAGCCCCCCTCCTAGCTTCTCAGGTGCTCACTGAAGAACTTAAAGGAGGAGTTTCTCTTGGGGAGACACAGGTCTTGAAACGAGACTCTTCGAGTGTGAGGCAGGGGTGGTTTGGTGAGGCCAGCCTCCCTTCCTGCCCCCGTGTTGCTACCAGCCCTCCCAGAAGCCTGAGGTGGATCAGGGTGTGTGTGTGTGTGTGCGCGCGCGCGTAGATTGGAGCCTCCTCGTCCAGCCCTCAATCTGGGGAGCCCCCTCAAGGGGAACAAAGAGACCAGGCAAGACAGACCTACTAGCAACACAAAGAAAACCCCACCAGCCCCAAACCTGAAACACAGGCCTGGGTCAAACCTCTTCAAAGGCTCTTGGCTCCTGAGAGCCGGATAAATCGCCATCATCATGGTTGTAAATCCCAGAGAAATGCAGAGTGGAGAGAGTTGGAGGGGGCGGGTTGGGGGGAGGTCAAGTCTACCCTCCAGATGGGGTATGGGTAGGTAGGCCACTTTCAGGTGGAGAATGGGCATCACTATCCAGATTCTCTCCTTCCTGGGCACCAGATGGTTGGGGTTCCCTGTCAGGACATGGGTCCCTGGAGGTCAGTGCTGGGGGGCCGGGAACCCAGGAGGCAGCTGCTTCTCCCAGCATTCCCCCCGTCCCAGCAGGCCAAGCCCACTCCCACGCCCAAATCTGCATGCCTCCGGGAGGATGCACTTGGGAAGCCTGGCTTCTGGGGGGGGGGGCAGAGGTGAATTTCCCTACCCCTCCACCCCTCCTACTCCCTACATCGCCTGTCAGGGAGAATGATTCTAAAGCCTCTCAGGATTCCTCCCATGGGGGTCCCAGGCTGGTGGGACTCCTGCCTTTCTGACCCCATCTGCTCTGCAGGGCAGGAAATGGGCCTGGGAATCCGGCTGTAAGACGCTGTCTGGGCGTGAGTGCTGGAATGAGAAAACAGACCCTGCTGGAATAGTCAGAGAGCAATTGTAATAAAGAAGATTGCCATGAAAACCAGCTGCCTTCCCGCCGGCCCCAGGAGCACGAATAAAAGCACCAGCAGAAGCGACAGGGATGGAGGCTGGCAGGAATGGATTGTTTTAATTCCCTTTCCTGAGGAGGGGGAAGCCAATGGCTGAAAATGTGGTGTGAGCCGGAGAAGGGGGAGGGAGCGGGGTGGCAGGCACTGCTCGTGGTCTTCTCGGGGCTTCTGTGTGCTCCAGGGGGAGGCCAGGGCCCCCAGAGGAGACAGGCTGCTCCCCCACCCCGGGTCACCAGCCAGCTGTCCAGGCTGGGCAGCGAGAGGGAGGGAGTCACAGGACGATAGCAGAAGGGCGATTCCTCTCCAGATCCTCCAAATGTCGTGAACCGGGAGAAGAGAAAGAAACTACAGGGTGCTGTAGCTGTAGCTGAACAGAGGCTGGTCTCCCCGTCTCCCCCATTTTGTCTCTCCAGCAGGCAGGGAGCTCCGTCTGTTGGCCCAGGGCTGGGTCCCCGGGGCCTGGAGCGGTGCCCACACAGGCACAATGGTCAGAACCCTTCTGAACACTTCAGTGGTGGGGGTTCTGAGGGCTCTAGGTCTTCGGTAAAGATGACCAGGCCGGGGAAAGTGCCCCAACCTGTGGCTTCCCTCTTAGGGCTCCAGGCCGGATGGGCTGAGTGGGGTGGAGTGCGGGCTTGGAGGGCAGCCCCGCCCCCTGGCTTCAGGCTTGCCTTCCCTGTCCCACAGAGGTATTCCTGGGAGCAGCAGGCTGGACAGAGAGAAGCCTCAAGCCTGTCCTAAGGATGCTCCCACGCTGCCCTCTGACCCCTGTGCTCCATTCGCAGTTGCCCGTCTCTTTCCTACTCTGCGGACCTGCCGGCCACCAGCGTCATCATCACCTTCCACAATGAGGCCCGCTCCACCCTCCTGCGCACTGTGAAGAGGTGAGCCCCATCTCAGGACCCTCGCCTCAATGGTGCTGCTCCCCGAGGCCTCGGGAAGATCTGCCAAGCCCCCGGCAGGAGTGCACATTGAGACAGGGTGCGGGGCCAGATGGTGTGAAGAGGTCAGCCACTGGCAGGTGGAGTCCTGTCCTTCCGAGAAGCTGGAGCTGGTAAATCAGGGTCAGAGAGACCCCAGCAATCTAGTTATTGGGATGCACAAACACAAGGTCCGGTCCCCAGGACAAAGGCAGATATTCAAGGGTCAGGAGCCAAGGGAGTCAGGGATGGACATGAAGCCTCAGGTGGCTGGCCGTTAGCCCAGTAGGTGCCATCCAACAATTCATAGGGAGGTGCCCCTCTGTCCTCCTTAGCTTGGCCCTGCGGTCAAGTTTAACTCCTACTCACCCCATTTCTTTAACGGGGATAGGATTTGGAGTATTCCAGGGATTAAAGAAACTTGGGGTTCCTTTCCCAGGGAGCAGAGGAAGAGGAAGGATGGTGGGAAGGAAAGCAGGCCGGCAGTTCCGGGCCTAGCTGGGTGGTGTCCCGTTCCCCCCCGCACCCCCCCACCGCTCCTGGCCCTGGCAGAACTTGTTAAGCCTAAGCAGTCAGAGCAGCTACAGGTCCTGTCTTGACAACAAAACTGGGGCAGTTCCCACAACCCATCTGGCCCAGGTCCCGGGTGCCTGCAGGTCCAGGCAGCAGGGTCAGCCAGGTCCTTGGAAGAGCCTAAGGACGATACTGCTCCTCAGCCACTCATCAGGGCCCGGGAGTTTTGCAAGGAGCTGCTCGTGGCTAGTGTGCTGGCCCCTGAGCTGGGTGGTGGGGGAGTCCTGGGGCAGGGAGAGGTAAATGGACGGTGACCCCTAAATCCAGGCTCCTCTGTCTCCATCACTATGTCCCCATCACTCCAGTGTCCTGAACCGAACTCCAGCCAGCCTGATCCAGGAGATCATCTTAGTGGATGACTTCAGTTCAGATCGTAAGTTTCTACCTCCTGTTATTTGCACCCTTCCAAACTCTCATTTCCCCAGAGCGTGGAGGCAAGCACTCCCAGGGCCGTGCTGGATATCACGTGCTGACCCCTCCCCCTCAATTGGGATCTTTTTTTTTTTTTTTAAGATTTTATTTATTTGACAGAGAGACTGTGAGAGAGCACAAGCAGGGGGAACAGTTGAGGGAGAGGGAGAAGCAGGTTCCCTGCGGAGCAGGGAGCCCGATGCGGGGCTGATCCCAGGACCCTGGGATCATGACCTGAGCCGAAGGCAGACGCTCAACCGTCTGAGCCACCCAGGTGCCCCAACCGGATCTTTAGTCTTCTAGGTGCCCTCCCTGACTCTGTTCCCAGGTGCCAAGGAAGGGGGAAGAGTGGTGTTGTTTTGATGGGACACCAGTGAGATGACATTTTTTAAAAACAGAAGCAACATCAGCAGCATCCTTTGTTCTTACAAGTGCCGAATGCTGAGGATTGTCCCTTCAGTGTGGCCGCGCTGGTGTTGACCTGGCTACCCGGTGTGACCTGCTGGTGCTCTCTGGCGCCCCCTGGGGGCAATGCCATAAGTATTCCTCAGTCTGGCCTGGGAGTGAGGCACAGGGCAATCCTTTGGCCATTAGAGATGACCATGCTCCTGTGTACCTCCCCACCCCCATCCCTTTCCCTGGACCTACTGTGAGACATCTTCTGGGCGGTTCCAGGGGCGACCAAACCCCTTGTGGTCTGACGCCCATATCTGAATGAGCTTGCTTCCTTCCCTTCACCTTCAGCTGAAGACTGTCTGCTCCTGACCAGGATCCCCAAGGTCAAGTGCCTGCGCAATGATCGGCGGGAAGGTAAGTTCTTGGATCCTGGGTGCCACTGCAGACCTATTTTGGTCTAGACCTCTGCACCTCCCCATTCCCTTTTGGCACCATGTCACACTAAGCCAGCATGCGCCTACTGCATTCCTGGTGGCCAGGACCAAGGGGTGTGGAAAGACCCTTCTGCTATCCCAGGTCAGCCTCTGCCACGGCATGACTGTAGGCAGGTCGCTCTACTTCTGGCTGCCTGGGCTGTCTCTTCTGAGAAGTGGAGTTAGTAATAGTCCCCTTTCTGCCTTGCATGGCTATTGTAAGGATTAAATGAGATAAACTATGTGGAAATGCTCCAAGAAAACCAAAGGACATTATTTTTTTTAAAGATTTTATTTATTTATTTGACAGAGAGAGAGAAAGAGCAAGCAGGGGGAGTGACAGGCAGAGGGAGAGGGAGAAGCAGGCTCCCTGCCAAGCAGGGAGCCCGATGCGGGGCTCGATCCCAGGATGCTGGGATCACGACCTGAGCCGAAGGCAGATGCTTAACCGACCGAGCCACCTAGGCACCCTGGGGCATTATAAAGCAGATGTCACCTCACTTCCAATCGAGAGGTGTTTCGGAGCATCAGCCACGCAGCTAGGATTGTACATGGCACTCTAGGAAGCACAAAACAAGTATGAAACTTGGTCCCTGCCCTCGGAGAGCTTATTGTAAGGCCAAGGAGTCAGGACCCACCGCAGGCACAGACTGGTCATGGTGATGTGGGGGCAGACCCCAGGAGAGGGACGTGATGGGGGACTAGGCCTTGCCTGGGCGAGGGCACAGCAAAACAGGTGAAGGGAGCAAGCAGGGCAGTCCAGGCTTGCGGACTCAGCACGAGGGCTGGCCCGGCACAGGCGCACCTGTCATACCAACAGCCCTCTCCCTGAGGGCTCTCCTGTAGCAGGCGTCCACTCTGCCCGTGTTCTCACATTCCTTCTTCCTAACAGCCCATCGTCCCCCTTCGCATATAAGGAAAGTGAGGCCCAGGGAGGTTCAGTAATTTGCCCACGGTGATGAGTAGAGGAGCCAGAATTCCAACCTGGAGGAGGGAGGCCACCCTTAACCTCCCTCTCCTCCTCCCTGCCTGGGAGAATCTGAGTCTGGTCAGGAGGGGAAATGGTGGGGTGAGGGTAGATGGCAGAAGACCTTGGAAGCCAGAGAAAGGCATTTAGACTTGATAAGGCAGGTAGTAGGGAGCCACTGAAAGTTTGAGAGAGAGAGAGAGATGTGAGGGGCATAATTAAGAAAGACCAGTCAGACCAAGGAGACCTGCTCACTGGCATGGAAGAGGCCAGAGAGAAATGAAATTTCTCCCAAGCACTGGGTTGTAGGTACCTTTAGGCCCAGGAATATAATGTTTCCTGGGATTTGCCCAACACGGGTACAAACCTTCAGTACTTGCTACCTACCGGTGGAGTGCAAGGATGGGACAGATGGATTTTTGCACAGATGGGTGTATAGTCAGATGGATGGAGGCAGAGTACAGGGCAGAGGTATGGCCAGGGAAATCTCTCCAAGGAGCAACTGTATGCTGAGCTCTTAGAGCGAGGCCCCTCCATCTCCACAGCTCACAGGACACCAGTGGCTGTTCTCTCAGTAGTCCCAGCTGGGCCTCCTCTCTCCCCAGGAGCTGCCAAAAGCGAGGCCATTCTTTGACAGCTGGTGAGCCATCAGCAAGACTGTTTGGGGTGGGGGTCGAAGCAGAGCAGAATCTAGCACGTGTCGGCCTCCTAGACACCGGGCACTCTCCCCGGCAGGTGGGGATTGTTTTCTCTCTGAGTCTTTTAGATGAGAAAACCCAGGCTCAGAGAGGTTAAATAACATGCTTAAGGTACGTGAAGGGTCTGGCATACTAACTCCAGACTGTCTAAGTCTAGAAGATTCTCACGAGGTCACCTCTCACGAGGTCACACATGATGATGCAGCTGAAGGGGACGGCTTAGAGATCCCGGCGGGTAGGGAGGAAAGGGTTTTGGTTTCTGGTTTTCTTTTGGTACCAAAACACACTCGAATGCATATTCCATTCACTAACACCTGACTGTTCATCGGTGTGTCCCCAGAGCCCAGAAGAGTATCTGGTACACAGAGAGCACTCAGAGAATGAGCCTGGAGTAATGATGGTTGCTGAGTGGATGAGAGAAAAGAGAGGGAGGGAGGGAGGAAATAATCAAATACAAAGTAAAGCGCAATCACAGTAACTCAGAGGAAGCCTTGAGAGCCCTGAGACTTTTGAGGGATGGCGGGGAAGCAAACTGGCCCCGTCCCAGTATCAACCCCTGTCCACTCTCATGGCAGGCTTGATCCGGTCCCGCGTTCGTGGGGCAGATGTGGCCACAGCTGCCGTGCTCACCTTTCTGGACAGCCACTGTGAAGTGAACACCGAGTGGCTGCAGCCCATGCTGCAGCGGGTCAAGGAGGTGAGTCCCTCTGTCCCTGGGGGAGCTCTGTCCCTTGGGATGTGCCCACCATGTTCTTGGCATGAGGGCGCGTGAACAGTCATTGACGTTGGATAGGCAGAGTAGGAGCCTAAATGGTCTGCTTCCACCTGAGTGACATCATGTTAATGAGCTTTCTCCTCTGAAAATGGGGTAGCTGTAGTATTTGTCTCACGGGGTTGTTGTGAGAATTCATGTGGATGTGAGCTTGGGTGAGCTGTAAAGCTCCTACTACGAATGGTGGTGAGGTTTTGCTCCCGGGGGAGGCGGGTCCTGTGCAGGGGCGGGGTGCAGCTTGGGGTCAAGGCTGGGAAGCCTGAGAAGGAGGAAGGGGGGGTGTGTCCTTGTCAAGGACAGATGAGGACAGGGGGTCCCTAGCACGTGCCTGCGTTTCACTAGAAGGGGGAGGGTAGGACAGGTGGAGGGAAGGATGAGGTAATCACGGATCAACCATAAAAAGACAAATAACCCAACTTAAAAATGGGCAAAGGATTTGGATGAACATTTCTTCAAGGCAAATACACAAATGGCCAACAAGCACAGGAAAAGATCCTCAACATTTTTAAGCCTTGAGGGAAATGCAAGTCAAAACCACAGTCAGATACCACTTGATACCTACAGGATGGCTGTGACCAAAGGATGGACAGTGACAAGGGCTGGTGAGGGTGTGGAGAAGTGGGAGCCTTTTCACTCATGGCTGGTGAGAATGTAACATGGGGCAGCTGCTTTGGAAAACAGTCCTGCAGTTCCTCAAAAGCTTAAACACGGAGTTACCTGATGACCCTTCCACTGCTGGGTATATACCCAAGAGAAATGGAAACACACTCCACACAAAAACTTGCACTGCGGTTTTCGGGGCAGCATCATTCAGAATAGCCAAAATGTGGAAAGAGCCCAGATGTCTGTCAAGATAGCCATACAACAAAGTACTAGTCAGCCATAAAAAGGAATGGAGTACTGATAACGTGCAACGGTGTGGATGAAAACGTTTCCCTAAGTGAAAGAAGCCGGTCACAAAAGGCCACGTGTTCTATGATTCCACTGATACGAGATGTCCAGAATAAAACAAAGCCATAGAAACAGAAAGGAGATGAGTGGTTGTCAGGGCCTGGAGGGAGAGAGGATGGGGAGTGACCGCTAACAGGTACAGGGTTTCTTGTTGGGGTGATGAAAATGTTCTGGAATTAGATAGGGGTGATGGGTGCACAGTCTTGTGAATATATTGTAAGCCAAATTTGTACACTTTAAAATCGTGAATTTTATCGCATGTCAGTTACGGCTGATGAAATTGCTATAAAAATGTGAATTATATCTCAGAACAAAAAAGTGTATAAAAAGGCAAAGGCAAGGCCCCCACAGAGCTCTCTGGGAAACCATGGGTGGTCTCACCTGCTCTGGTCCTGAGAGGGGGTGTGAACCGAGGGGCAGAGCTGGGCTCCAAGTTGCAGACAAGAGGATTTTGAGGGTCAGCACAGAGTGTGGGGAGAGAAGAGGCTCTGGTCTGGGTCCCTCTGTGGAGGGAGAGGAAAGAGAGGGCTGATGGCCATTGATAGTTTTGCATAGCGTGAATGACATAAGCCACCCCACCCCCGAATCTTTAGTAAAATTGACATTACCCACCAATGTTTTGGAGGTGGATTTGTGCCTAGGAGGGTGAAGGGAGTAATGCATCTGACCTTGAAGCGGATGTGGCATGAAAGAGTGACAGCCAGGTTGCGTAGGGATGGCGGAGTCCCTGCCCTCACGCTGCTGGCGGTCCAGTTGGGAAGACTCAGCCCGAACATGTACAAAGGTGGATGACGATTAATAAAACAACAGTTCAAACCAGCAACAGATGAGCCACCTCAGACAGCATATGATTCAGTGCCCCAGGAATTGTCTGGACTGTAACTGTGAGAGCAGCTTAAAAGAGGAAGAAATCCTCAGCCTGTAGCAATCCGGCAGGGCTTCACTGAGGAGGTGCGATCCCAGCAGGGCTAAGCATGATGTGAAAGGAAGAGGCTGGGAGAGCACTGTGCCCATGGCACCCAGGTGGGATCTTCCAGGAGCCTGGCTATGGGGCTGCAGGACAGCTCCCAAGAACCTGCCGCATCCTGCAGAAAGGGCTGAGTGCCCCGTGGCTCGGAGAGAACTTCTGCCCACAGTCCAGGCAGCTGGGCCTTTCTTCACAGAGTCCTTGGCCTCACACCATCTCTCGTTCCCTCCCCTCCAGGACCACACCCGTGTGGTGAGCCCCATCATCGATGTCATCAGTCTGGATAACTTTGCCTACCTTGCTGCATCTGCTGATCTTCGTGGTGGTGGGTCCATCTCCCAGAGGAGGGGCTGTAGACTTGAAAGGGGCAGGGGAGGGCAGTCTCAAGCCTTGGTTTGGTGCTCTTCTGCCCAGCTGTGCCAGAGCGTCTCACACCACCAGAAAATGGAAAGCTCTGGGGTTGGGGACAAAGCCCTCTGGCCCAATCAGTGACAGAGCCCAGCTAGTCTTGTGTCTTCCCCTCCGAGGCACAAGCCCTGACACATCCTTCCCCAAAGGCTGCCAGCCCAGGGACCATGCCCACAGTCCTGGCAGAAAGGCATGATGGGACAGTGTCATGCATGAATTCCTGATACGTACACCTGCAGGTGGTCTGGACCCGGGCTGTCTAATGCAGTAACTATGGGCCGCATACGGCTATTGAGCTCTTAAAATGTGACCAACCTGGATTGAGATGTGCCGTAGGTGGAAAATACACACCAGGTTTCAAAGTCTTATTATGAAAGAATGTAAAATATCTCATCAGTAGTTTTTTATATTGATTACATGTTGAAATAATAACATTTTGGGTATTTTGCATTAAAATATATTCAAATTAATTTCATATGTTCTTTTTGATATGGCTACTAGAAAAATTTACATATGTAGCTTGCATTTCTGCCTTGCATCATATTTCTTTTGGACAGCTCTGGTTTAGACTTTTTAGCTGTGTTGTCCAATATAATAGCCATATTTGGCTATTTATATTTAAATTACAATTAAATAAAATTCAAATTCACTTCCTAACTTGTACTAGCCACATTTCAAGTGCTCAATAACCCCATGTGGCTAGTGCCTACCATATTGGACAGTCAGTACAGATATAGAACATTTCCATCATTACAGAAAGTTCTATTGGACAGGCTGCACTAGGGAATCTGTTGCTAGGAGCTAGTGGGCAGAGTGGTTTTCCTTTTTGGGGCCCAGACTTCCAAAAATTGGAAACAGCTATTACTTAGATCTTGGAGTTGAGTGGGGTTCTGAAGGGAGCCAGGCATTTCTCCTTTGGGAAATCACCTCAGGGCCTTTGCACTTGCTGTTCCCCCAGCCTGGAATTCCATTTCCCCAGATATCTGCATGGATCAGTCCTTCATTCAGGTCAAATGTGACCTCTTTAGAGAGCCTTTCCTGACTACCCTTACTAGAATAGTACGAACACCTCTCTTTTCTTTATTTTTCTTTTTAACACTTTTCACCTTTGACTAGCAGATTGTTTTATTGATTTATTTTTGTAGTCTCTGTCCTACCCAGTAGATCAATGAGGGCAGGGACCCGTCTCGTTCTGAGTGAAGGAATGACTGCATGAATTGCCCAGGGCCCTCTGCGAGCTGGGCTCTGATCAAGGGAGACTGAGGGCTGCAGCAGCTCTGCCCTGAGCTCCGTCCTCACCCCACTCTGTCCCTTAGGATTTGACTGGAGCCTGCATTTCAAGTGGGAGCAGATCCCTCTTGAGCAGAAGATTGCCCGGACCGACCCCACCAAGCCCATAAGGTCAGTGCTGCTGTGGGCTCTGCAGAGACCCCTTCCTTCCCTGGGTCAGGGGGCCTGGGAGGCTGCTGGGGGGGGGCTGTTTCAGTTGCTGGTGCTCCTTAGGGAGCACTGTCTAAGTGCTGACTCTGTTCTGGGCCCCAGGGACAGAGAATACAGAGGTCAGGGAGTTGCTGGATGTCCTGCCCCTATGACTCTGCAAGCGGGGGATTCTGGGGCAAATGACCTGGGGTTCTGGGGCCATCTAGAAGGGTTCCCAGCTTCTCCAGCTCATGCACTGCCTCTTTCCTCTCCTTGCTCCCAGGACTCCTGTCATAGCTGGAGGAATCTTTGTGATCGACAAGTCCTGGTTTAACCACTTGGGAAAGTATGATGCCCAGATGGACATCTGGGGCGGAGAGAATTTTGGTAAGTTGGAAATGACAATAACGGTAACAACAATAATAGATAACCCTGCTCGAGCGCATTCTATGCATAAGGCCCTGTTCTACACATGTATGCATTTGTTTAATCCTCACAACTCTCTGAGGTAAGTACTATTATATCTCCATTTTACAGATAAAGAAACTGGGGCACAGAGAGGTTAAGTAATTGGTCCAGAGCCACACAGCTAGTAAACAAAGATTTAGGTGGTCAGGGGGAGCCTGTGGTCACATGGCTAGATATGTGTGTGGAAGGACATACAGACTGTAACCGGGGCTGCAGCTTTAACTACCACAGCTGATTCTCTTCCAGAAAAGCCAGGGGTGGGGGGTGCAGCGGAGTTTGGTGGTTAAATGTAAGAATGGGGGCAAATGGCCTGGGTGCCAATCCTGGCCCTACCACCTACAAGCTGTTTGGCCCTGGACAAGTTGAAGCCTCCCGAAGCCTCCATTTCCGCAAGGGGCTGGTATGAGTACCAAATAAGAGATGAGTTAAAACACGTGGCATGCTGCTGGTGGCCATTATCATTACTGACGGGGCTGGGGGAGCCCTCTAGCTCCAGCAGGAAAGGGAAGAGCCCAGCGAGCTCCCAGGGTCGTCAGCGAGGTTCGGTTAGATAAAGGCCTGCTACAGTGGATCAGCCGACATGGGTAATATAAGGGGCTTTACTAAAGAGACCGTCCACACGGTGTGGGCGAGATACAGGGAGCCGCAGGGACAGCGCAGTCCTGGGCTGGCTGGTGACTGCTGTGAGGTGTGGCCACCCCTAGGTCTGAGAGACGGGGAGGGAGTGCTCCCTGACAGGAGCTGTGGTCTTGGGGCACCTGCAGCCAGCCCACAGCACCCCGGCAGAGGGTGTCGGGGAATAAATACCCACCCTCGCTCTCCCCTCTCTCTGCTCTGACGGAGCCTGCCAGCCCGCAGGAAGGAAGCCAACAGTGCAGCGCACACGGCGAGGAGCAGGGCGAAGGATGGGGAGCGATCCGGGGGTCTGCAGGGCGAAGGATGGGGAGCGATCCGGGGGTCTCCTGTTCTTTGCAGAGCCCTTTGTTTCCTTCTTCATCCTCACCACGTTTCTTGCAAAGTAAATACGGCTAGTGGTATCTCACCCGTTTGACAGGTGGGAAAACTGAGGTGGACGCTGCCCTCCAGATTTCAATCAGGAAGCTCCACATCTGACAGGTGTGCGTAGTGCCCCAACCAGAGCCACTTCAGTGTTGTGAGGTGTGATCAAAGCAAATTCTGTGTTTCTGAGAGGTGAGGGGCAGGCCTTTCTTCTCTCTCCCTGATTGGGACACAGATGAGCAGTGGGGCTTGGTTTTTTTTTTTTCTTAAAGATTTTATTTGTTTATTTGAGAGAGACAGAGATAGCAACAGAGATAGCAAGAGAGCATGAGTGGGGAGGAGAGGGGGAAGCAGTCTCCCCGCTGAGCAGGGAGCCTGATGCAGGGGCTCAATCCCAGGACCCTGGGATCATGACCTGAGCTGAGGGCAGATGCTTAACCCCTTAACCGACTGAGCCACCCAGGCACCCCAGCAGTGGGGCTTATAATAGGTCTGATCCTAACTCAAAACCAACTGGGGTGGAAACAGGCGTGGAATGTTCTCCCCTTTATAACTTACTCTTGGAAACCATTTGCAGACAGGCATTTGAAGAAGTAAATTCTGGGAACCGAGTGCACTGACCCTTCCGTTCTGACCTTTCGCATATTCTGGGCCCAAGTGACCTCCTGTGTGCCCTCAGTTTCAGCCTGAAGGGAGCTTTGGCAAAGCGGGCTTCCTGTACAGACTCAGAGGACTGGGAAACGAATGGTCTCTCCTGCATCCAGGAGCTTTTTTCTTTTTTTTTTTTTTACAGCTGGTGATTGACAGAGAAACAAGTAAATGATCAAATGGCTAACTTCAAATTCTGCCTGAGGCGAGGGCTCAGTGGTTGGGGAACTTGAAAGGTGAACCACAGAGTGTTTCTGGGAAGGGTTTTGTTTCTTAGAAGAAAGTCAAAGAAATGTCTAGGCTAGCCATGGTGCTCGACATTCAGCTGCTGGGAGCAGTTTTGAGCCAGGAGAGCTCTGTTGCTGGTGGGTTTGGGCCTTTCATTTCATTCTTTTGTTGAAGGAAGGAAGATGCCTAAACTGAGACTCATTCCTGTATCCCCTCAGAGAGCCCCAGAGGCCACTATAAGTGGAGGTGGCCAATGTGAAAACCTTGGGATTCCCATTAGAGGTCCTTTTAAAAGGTAGTCAGATCATGTCGGTCCTCTGCTCACGACCCTGCAGGGACTCTGTCACATCACTGAGAGCAGAGCCCACAGTCTTCACGCCATCTGCCCTCCCCTCATGGCACACCCCCAGCTCTGCGCCTATCTCCTGCCTTTCCCACCCGGCCTCACTCCACCCCGCAGCCGCCTCCACCAGGCCTCCTTGCGGTCCCAGAACTTGCCACCCACTCCAGCCTCTACGTCTTTGTCCTTGCCGATCCTTCTGCCTGAAATGCTTCTCCCCCAAAAGCCACATGACTTGCTTCCTCCCCTCCTTCAGGTCTGAGCTCAGATGTCCCCTTTTGCTGGAGAACTTCCCAATCAGATTAAAACTGTAGCCCACCCCAGCTCCACTGGCGCTCTTCAGCCCCCTCCTGCTTTGTCTGTCTCCATTGCACTTAATACCATCGGATAGACTACGCATTTCACTCATCTTCTTGTCTACTTACATCTTTGTTCCTTACTTTAGTGAGTTCCCGTCACCTACCCATGAGTGTGTAAGGATTCTAGAACAGTGCATGACACATAATTAACAGGTGCCCAATAAAATTTTGCTGAATGAACTAAGGAGTCTGATTCAAACAGTGCAGCTTGCTGGACAAAATATGAACTTGACATTATAATTCTGCAAGAGTATTTCGGTGATCTTGGAGAGGTTAACATGTTTGAGCTTCCCAGTCCTGATTAAAAACAGGGGGACGGGGCACCTGGCTGGCTCAGTTGGTAAAGCATGCGACTCTTGACCTCAGGGTCATGAGTTCGAGCCCCATGTTAGGCATGGAGCCTACTTAAAAAGAATAAATAATTTCTTAAAAATTGAAACAAACAAAACATGAGGATGATAATACCTGCTTCACATGCTTGCTGTGAGAATTAGACCTGGGTTATAGAGCATGGCACATGGTAAGGGCTCAGTAAATGGGTGACAGTTACTGCTCGTGACCGTGTTGTGGGTAATGCCAAGAACAGTATGGACAGGGCAGGCTGGTGGGATGAAGTGACTTATTAGCGTAACCAAGTTAGTCTGGTAGAAATGGAACCAGAATGCAGCTCTTCTGTCCCCCCAGGTCTGCCCCTAGTTCTAAATCTCACTTGCTGACCCAGCTGCAGAGCTCTTCCCAGGAGAAGGGACACAAGCCTGGCAGTGTGCAGGCCGACCTAGGGAAGCCCATCAGCATGGCCAGCCCCGCTATGGCATGCGTCCAGCCCTGGCCCCTGGCCCACGTCTGGAAGCTGTCTGCTGCACACAGGCTGGACAGAGGCGGGCGTTAGTCACTGGGGGTGGGAGGTGGGCCCCGACGAGCTGCGCCAGGTGAGGACCCCCAGGCCTGGCCAGGGACCACGAGTGTCTGTACAGCCAGCTGGGGAGTGGGATGAGGGACCGAGGCTGGGAACTCATGAGAAAATGGTCTTTTTTTTTTTTTTTAATTAAAAACAAAACAAAACAAACAAACAAACAAAAAACAAGGGTTGTGTATTTTCTGGGACAGGAAGGAGGTGTTTTAATGTCACAGGGTGTCTGTCCAACGGTAGGGTTCATACGAAAGGGTAATCAGAAGAGATTATGAGAGGGTCAGCAAGCCCCCACGGTGGGTCCTTGGCAGAAGTGACAATCGTTGAGTGGAGAACAGAGCGGGCAGTTTGTGATGGCCCCCTCTAGGAAGCAGAATGGCTACTTGCATCTCCCTGCCCTAAGAGGGACCACAGTCCCTCACAGTCCTACAGAAGCTCATTCAGCATCCCCACCACTAACTATCAAAAGGAAGCGTGTCTCAAGAGGGCCAGTGGTAGCCTGTAAATGGAGACCCCCTGTGCCAAGAGGGAGGTCTGGAGCCAGAAAGACACCAGCTGGAGCGGCCCGTGGCCTGGTTGGTGGCTGGTATTCCAGCCTCGTGGATGCCCAGAGCCGACTGATGAGCAAATGCATTCTTCCTTAGCAATGTCTGGATGGGGCTTTCTAGTCGGAGGCTGGAAATGATGCTGCGTTTGATTCAGTTTTCCTTCTCCTCATGGTCTTGGTGTTGCTTCAATGCTTTCCCCACTGCTCTTCCAGGGCTCAGATGCAGGCAGTGTGTAAGGGGTTGGCAATGGAGGGTATGTGTGTGTGGGGGTGTATGTGTGGTGTGTCTGGGGTGGGGTGTGTGGAAGGGGTGTGTGTGGAGGGTGTGTGTGGTGTGTGTGTGTGTGTGGTGTGTGTGTAGAGGTGTACGTGGAGGGGGTGTGTGTGGTGTGTGTGTATGTGTTTGTGCAGGAGATGTGGGTGGAGGGGGTATGTGGGGTGTGTGTGTGTGTAAGTGGTATGTGTGCATGTGGTGTGTATGTAGGAAATGTGTGTAGAGGGGTGTGGTGTGTGTGTGTGTGTGTGGTGTGTGTGTAGGAGACGTGTGTGGAGGGGTGTGTGTGGTGTGTGTGTAAGTGGTATGTGTGCATGTGGTGTGTATAGATGTGTGTGTGGTGTGTGTGTGTGGTATGTGTGTAGGGGTGTGTGTGGTGTGTGAGTATGTGGTGTGTGTGGAGGGG